TATATATATATATATATATATAAACCCTAAACCCTAAACCCTAAACCCTAAATCATTAACTAGATGTGATTAACCCTCAACAATATACCCACAACAATAAACCCTATACGGCAAAACCCTAAACCCTAAACACGCTGAGACAAGGAGATAAAAGGGTAGAGGAGGGACACGCAACTGCATGCATTTAGGGTTTAATATCTTAGGTGTCATCGGGTTTAGGGTTTATTAGGGTTTAGGGTTTATTAGGGTTTAGGGTTTACGTACAAGGGTTCGCAGCTCCCAACCTGCATGTCGTGTCTTAGCAACAACAACTCGATACTGCAAATCTTCCGGTAATCTGCAAGGAGACACACACACACACACACACTCGAGGGTTTAGGGTTTAGCCAGCAAGTGTCTCCTTGTCAGCAGCAGCAGCAGCAGCAGCAGCAGCAGCAGCAGCAGCTTACCTATTAGTACAGTATCTAGGTGAGCATAGACAGTGTGTGGAGCAATTAGCAATTGGTTTGAACATGATTAACAAAACCCCAACAACAAGAGCACCATCACCATCACGACAACAACACCATGCAGCAGCAGCACCAGCAGCAGCAGGAGCAGGAGCAGCAGCAGCAGCAGCAGCTCCTCCTCCTCACCTATTAGTACAGTATTTAGGGGAGCATAGACAGTGTGTAGAGCAATTAGCAATTGGTTTGAACATGATTAACAAAACCCGAAAAACAAGAGCACCATCCCAATCACGACAACAACACCATGCAGCAGCAGCAGCAGCAGCAGCAGCAGCAGCAGCAGCAGCAGCAGCAGCTCCATACCTATTAGTACAGTATTTAGGGGAGCATAGACAGTGTGTAGAGCAATTAGCAATTGGCTTAAAAGATTTAACAAAATTTTGATTTGCGCCCAAACAATAAATTCGTCCCGAAATTGGATCCCTTATAGCGTCACAGTAACTAGGTAATTCGCTGAGAATATATATAGATAAATAAATAAATATATATAATTTATTTATTATATATTTTTTCTTTATTATTATTAAATATTTCTTATTAAACTTATTTAGATCTATTCATTGATGGGTTATAACATATATCTATCATCAATATTTATTATGCTGCATTTGCTGCTTATGTTGATGGTGGGTTGTATGATTGTTAGGAGAGGGACGAGCAGACAGACAGTCAGCATCAGCAACAACAGCAACAATACAGCAGCACGGCAGTAACAACAGCAGCAAATACACCAGCAGCAACAGCAACAGCAACAGCAGCAGCAGCAGCAGCAGCAGCAGCAGCAGGAAGAACAACATACACGCGTTCCCAATCGGAGGTGTCTGCATCTTTAGGGACACAACCCGTACAAAGACACAACATTAATGAACTAGGTAATCGGCCAAATAATACATTCCTCTTCTGGTAGCTGCGCATACACCCCAACAGCAGCAGCAGCAGCAGCAACAGCAGCAGCAGCAAATGAAGCATGAGGACACAGAGACACCGCAAAAAGGGAGACACGCAGATAGAAAAAAAAGGAGACAGATAGATACAGCAAAAAGACATAAAGGAGACACATAAACATAATAAAAAAGGAGACACATAAATATAAAGAAAAGGAGACATATAAAAACAAAAAAAAAGGAGACAAATAAAGGGAACAAAAAGGAGACACATAAGACGTAAAAGAGACAGTAATAATATACAAGAAATCTGCAGGAGGAGATTCATTATCTATATGATTAATAACAGGAATAGGAAGTGTACAAGGAGACAAAAAGGAGACAAAAAAAGATAAAAAAAAGGAGACAATAAATAAAACAAAGGAGACAAAGGAGACAGATAGATAACAGCAAAAAGGAGACAATAAAGGAGACAGTAATTATACCAGAAATCTGCAGGAGGAGGATCGTTATCTATATGATTAATAGCAGGAATAGGAAGTGTCTCCTTTCCTTGGGAAATATCTATCCATGGGGACCAAAGGGATGGCAAAGGAGACCCTAACTCTATTGAGCTTATTATACCACAGGTACTGCTCTGTATAGACACAAGGAGACACACAAATGCTGCTGCTGCTGCTGCTGCTGCTGCTGCTGGTTGGTGGTGCTGGTTGGTGGGGGTGGTGGGGTTGTGGTGTTTGTTTTATTGATTGCAGTAAGGTGATACTGCTGTTGCTGCTAGTGCTGCTGCTGCTGTTGCTGCTATTGCTGCTGCTGTTGCTGCTGTTGTTGTGTGTCTGCTGTGTATACCTGCGGTAAATAGCAATGAGCAAATTGCAATGCATGCGCTTTGCTAACAATAAGACGTGTCTCCTTTTTTATCCATCTAAGGGGACGATGACCATTGCTGCTGCGCTTATTTGTCTCCATCCTCTCTATTAGTCTCTCTATACACTCATGATGGCCTAGTGTCTTGCTCCTGCTGCTGCTGCTGCTGTTGCTGCTGCTGCTGTTGCTGGTAGTGTCGTGGTTGCTGCTGCTGCTGCTGCTGCTGCTGTTGGTGTGGTTATGATTGTTGTCGTTGTTAGTTGTGCCATCGCTGCTGCTGCTGCTGCTGCTGTTGCTGTTGCTGCTGCTGTTGAAGGCGTTGCTGCTTGTGTTGCTGCTGCTTTGACAATCCATGGAGGTGTCTCCTTCTTCCTGTCTCCTTTCTTCTAATTGGTGTCTCCTTCTTCCTCCTCCTTCCCACCCCACACCTCCCCATCTTTGTCCTGTTGCTGGTGCTGTTCCTGCTGCTGCTGCTGCTGCTGCTTCCTTTAAATATACATCTACTAGTCTCTGCTTCTCTGCTGAGGAGACAGGAGACAGCTCCAACTCATAAGACTCGACCCTCAGCACAAGAGGCAAAAATCCACATCGTGCCCACGCAGGACACGATCCCGATCCCGATCCCGATCCCGATCCCGTTGACGATCCCGATCCCGATCCCGATCCCGATCCTGCTGCAGCAGAATTTTGACAACTTCTTGCATAAGCCAATGCTGCAGCAACACTACACTCAGGATCGTTGCCGCTGCTGCTGTTGCTGCTGCGGCCCCACTTCTGCAGCAGGTGCTCATACACCTGAAGGAAGAAGAGACATACAAAAGAGACAGCAGCAGTATTAATATTATCCCTGTTGCTGCTGTCCTTGCTGCTGCTCTTGCTGCAGCTCTACCCGCTCACACAGCAGCAGCAGCAGCAACAACAGCAGTGATACCTGATATGCTGCAGCAGCAACGCTAGCAAGAGTTGCTATAGTATATCCTCCCTTAGCCAATGGTATAAAGGGAGGGACAGTCACTGCGAAAGGACGAGGGAGGTCGCTGTACACCTGAACAGCAGCAGCAGCAACAGAAACAACAGCAGCAGCAGCAACAGTAGCAGTAGCAGCAGCAACTGGGGTTGAGCCACTGGCGTGTTTGCAGCAGCACAAACGTAGCAGCAACAGCTGCTGCATAAATAGCAAACAGGACTAACAGACACAACAGTGTGGGCAGCGCAACAAGCAGCAGCAGCAGCAACAGCAGCAGCAGCAGCAGCAACGTACCTCCACAACACGAGTGGTAGTAGAGGGAAGAGACAGTTCATCAGCTGTCTCCATTTGCTGCTGCACTCGACGATGTGTTGCAAATTGCTTCTCCGCTAGCTGCCGCATAGGCCTGAACAGCAGCAGCAGCAGCAACAATAACAGCAGCAACAACAACAACAGCAGCAGCAGCAGCAGCAACATGCAAAATACATGCATCCCCCCTTTCCTGCGAATACTTAGATAGCGACAAGCAGCAGCATCACCATCATCATAACCCCCCGCACCCCTAAACCAACAACCACCATCACCATCACCATCACCATCACCATCACCATCAGCAGCAGCAGCAGCAGCAACAGCAGCAGCAAGAGCAGCAGCAGCATCAACAGGAGCATGAGTAGCTAACCTAAGTCTCCTATCTGTATCCCATAGAGGATGTGTCATAGATTGGAAGTTGAATTGTCTCCAATTAGAGACAGGAGGAATATATATATTTGCATGTATACTTATTAATATAAATTTAAATATACATCGTCCCCTTAATTGTCTCTCCTCTGTCTTTATACCACGACCTATTCCTACTCCTACTGTTGCTGCTGTTGCTGATGTTGTTGTTGCTCCTGGTAAGCAGGAAGAGGAAGAGGAAGAGGATTGGCATGATGGTGCTGATGATGATGTCCCTCCTCCTCCTGCTGCTGCTGCTGCTGCTGCTGCTGCTGCTGCTGCTGCTGCCTCACGGCTACGAGCCTTGGATTGGGTATAAGATAACATCTCTATGTCTGTCTCCTCCTTATCAGTCTCCTGAGATGCTGCTGCTGTTGATGCAGCAGCAACAGCAGCAGCAGCAGCAGGACCTCCTGTTCCTGCTGTTGTTCCTTGGGTTAGATCGACAATGTCGATCACAGGAGATGGTGCTGCTGCTGCTCCTGCTGCAGCAGCAGCAGAAGCAGCAGCAGCAGGAGGAGGAACAGCAGGAGAAGGATCGTGTCTCTTGTCTCCTTCATCTGAATCGGAAGAGACAATCTCAGGTCCGTCTCCATTGGTGCTGGTGCTGCTGCTGCTGCTGCTGCTGCTGCTGCTGCTGTTGCTGTAGTTGCTGCATGCTGCAGCTGCTCCTTTCCCTCGTCCATTACCTTTAGAAGAAGGACCACTAGCAGCAGCACCAGGACCACTAGCAGCACCAGCACCAGCAGCAGCAGCAGCAGCAGCAGCAGCAGCAGAGGAGCGAGCCTCCTTACAGAGACTCTCTGGTGGTTCAGATGTATCAAAGAGAAGTTCAACAACTCTATACAAACCGTCATAACGAAAACCAACCTCAGGAGCATACCTGCAGCAGCAGCAGCAGCAGCAGCAACAGGAGCAGCAGCAGCAACAGCAGCAGCAGCAACAACAGCAGCAGGAAAAGGAAATGACGAACCCCCAAATCGGTAGAAACAGAAGCAGCAGCAACAGCAACAACAACTCTACCACCACTACCACAACCAACACTACCAGCACCAGCAGCAGCAGCAGCAGCAGCAGCAGCAGCAGCAGCAGCAATTCCTTACTGGGATCTAGCTTGATACCCTCTTATAACTCTAATTGGATACTCGTGTCTCCATGCTGTCCATAAAGAAGTATTACGTTGGCTAGATCCACATAGCCCTATTAATTGGTCCTTTATAAGAAAAAAAAAAAAAAAAAAAAAAAAAAA